CAGTGCCTTGGAAGGCTAAAGCAGGAGGATCATGAGTTCAAAACCAGCTTCAGCAAACTTAGTGAGACCCTAAGCAACTCAGTGAGGTCCTGACTTTAAATAAAAGATAAAAAAGGGCTGGGGATGTGGCTCAGTGGTTAAGCACCCCTGGATTCAGTCCCTGGTACAATCCCTCCTTTTTTACATTGATGTCCTAGGCCAAGGGTTCTTTTCAGCTCTGTAAGAATATCTTTTTTTTTTTTTTTTTTTTGGCATAATGTGGGCATCCCAAAGATTCCCAAGTCAGTAAAGGATGGGAAGGACTTGACTCACCCAAATGGCTCCTCTCCCATCATTGAAATACTTCTCACTTACCAATCTGTTATTTTCTTTTACATTTGCACAAGACATCCATAGCATGAGTCATAATAAGAAACTCATCATAAGAATGTTCAAATTGCAAAGTAGATTCCTCTTTTCTTCCTAATAGTAGATTCAAGATTTTAAAATTGCAGTGATTTAGGAAGCTTAAGAACATGAGCTTTAAAGTCCATATATTTTTTTTTTTTGGCTAATGTAAACTGCATTTTTAGTAAAAAAAAAAACTTCAGTAGGATTATCATTTAATTCAGGCTTTCTTGAGTTTGAAACAGTTGCCCTTGCAGAGCTGTGCTTTTTAAAATTGAAAATGAAAGCTGCAATTATACATAAATGGGTACAGAAAGGGGATGACAAAGGAAGCTCTCTTCACTTTGCTGTTCAGAGGCTTCGTGTGTGCACAAATGTTGTGTATATTGTATGTGCACTTTGTGTGGCACAGGTGTCTTGTATGTGTGTATGTGTCTGTGGTTTGTTGGGTATATATGTTTGGTGTGTGTGTGTGTAGTTATGGTGTATTTTTGTGTGTTGATTATATGCATACTGCATGTGAGTAGTATGTGTAACTGTGTGCATTTGTGGTGTAAGTACATTTGTGTGTAGTTGTGTGTGTGTTTGTAATGAATATGGTGTGTGTGTGTGTGTGTGTGTGTGTGTGTGGTCTTCTGAAAGGGAACTGAGATCCAGGGTTTAGAGCTTATGTTTTAAAAGTATTTCTACATTGAGGTCAATGGTAAGTCCTTTTCAAATATTTCATTTCCTCAGATGTCTTTTGATGGGTGCTTTCTTAAGCCTAACTATTTGAATTTTTTAAGAAGGAAATTCCAAATATTATCAACTAGATTAAAACAGCAGTGATTGCTACATTACTGTAATTTCAGCTAACACTGTAGTTTAATTTAGCAAATAAAACTATTTATATTCAGTTATGATGCTCAGAATTTTGAGAGCCTATCTCTTCTGTCTCTGGTATGTAAATCCAATTCTTATGGATTTAGTTGCAACTGCATCTTGCTTTTCAGAAGTGGTGTTGTGGGATGGAATGCCACTTCGGCATCTCCCCATGGGGCCTGTCTCAGCCGGTGGAGACAGGACTGTTTAGAGGCTAAGAATGGAAGCTCTCAGTAGCCCTCCTGGGTCCAAATGCTGGGCAAGGGCTTAGCCTGATCAGTTTCCTCATCTGTGAAACTGGGTCATGGTGGTACCTTCCTTCCAGGGGTCTGCTCTTGGGAAACTTAGATGAGATGATGCTATAAACATAGTGTTTGGAACATAGTTGGTGTCTAGGGAACACTCATTTTTATAATGGAGGGGTTCATGTTTGGATGTAGCTGTGCCTCTACTAGTACAGACAGGAGGGAAGTGAAAGCCATTAGGACTCTTTCATCCAAGACTTATTGTGAATTTACAGTCTCCCTTTGTATCCATGTGTTCTGTATCTGTGAATTCAACTAATCACGGATGGGGGGAAAATATATATATATATATATAATATTATAAATATATATAATATATACATATATATAATTGCTTCTGTATTGAACATGTACAGACCCTTCTTACTTGTCATTAGTCCCTAAATAATATAGTGCAACAACTACATGGCATTTACATTGTGTTAAGTATTATAAATCATCTAGAGATATTTAAAGTATATGAAAGGATGTGCATAGGTTATATGCAAATACTCTAGCATTTTATATGAGACTTAAGCATCCTTGGATTTTAGTATCCTTAGGGGGAAGTTTCTGGGACCAATCTTCTGCAGATACTGAGAGGTGACTGTGTGCCATTTGGCCTACCTAAGAAGATTTGATTCATGATTAGGCTGTCCGTTCTTGCATCAGTGTAGCCTGCCTTCTTGGTGGGATAGATAACATTTCATTTCATGAATGCCCAGAAGGGGCTCTGAAGATATTGGTGGGTCTAGCTCTAGTCTGTTGATAGGATGAATGTCCCCTGAGCCAAAGTGCTCTCCCTCACATGTGGAAACCAGCCCTGCCATCTTTTCTGTGCTGGAATAGGTTGTATCTCAGCAGTGGAGAAAGGTACTCAGAGAGCATGGAAAACAACAACAAAAACTCAGGAACATTATGTAAGTCACTCTGACTCTGCAATTATTTGGTTCAATTTTAGATAAAACTTCACATTTTGTCCCTGCTATTTCTGGGCCCCTCTGTAGACAATGTCTGTGCAAAGTGCTATTAGGAAGCTCTGGATGCAGAAAGGGAGGGTGTGGATATAGGGTCTCTGTTGTGAAGTGTTTATTCCATTTCAAATTTCTATCTTGTTGAATAAGGAAGATCCCAAGTCCCTTTTCTGGTGTGAAGAATGCAAATCGTGGATTCAAGGGGTGTGCATTGGGGGTGGGGCAGGGAAACACATACAGAACTCAAATCCTTGCCCTTGTCCAATGCTGCAGCTGTTGTCATAAGGTTGGGAGGGACATGGAGTGCATGGCCAGCTGGAAAGATGCCAATGTACTGTTTCATCACACCAGCGTCTACTCCTGTTCACTGGCTTCCGTGGTTAGTCTTTAAAATTGATGGTGGGATTTTGCTGAATGTCAAGAAATAACAGTGAAAGGGCAGTCCTGCCAGGTTTTCATCAGAACCCACCCCTCCCTCTCTCTTTTTTCTCTCTGTTCTGCTCTAACTTCAGTCTAGGCCCCATAGATTAAAAGGACCACCTTTAGGTTGTCCTCACTCTGCATTAATAACAAAGCCTACTGTGAATCCATCCCTTTAACCCCACATTTATCCCACTATCCTTCAATCCCAGCCACCCAGCCAAAGAAGCTTTATTTCTTCAGCAAGATCTGGGTCAGTATCTTCTCCTTTCTTCAGCTTTCCTCCCCTCTTCCAGGCACATTCCAGTTACTTTCCTTCTCTTATATCACGTTCTATTCACTAGTTTTCCCAGGGGCACATTCCAACTCTTCTGGGCTCTCACTGTGTGGCTTGGGGGCAAACTTAGTTGTGCCACATTGCCCCCCACCCCTTGCAGCTCACAAGTCAGGCTCTTCCTTTTTTTATGTTGATAACTTCTGATCTCTTGCCTCTAACCGATCTTTGTTCAGTTCTTGGGAAGGTGATGACAATTTCCTTTAGACCCTGGCTTATTCATTCCTAACCCAAATGTGATGATACTATTGATCATTCTGTCAGTGAAGAAATAAGTGAATTGGGAATGTTATAGATTGAATGTCATAAGATTTTCCCTTGATATACACAGCTCAAGGGCACATGAAGGAATACTGTAAAAAGACCTTCTTTCAAGAAGCTTATAATCATGTTAGAGAGGCAATATTGGCACACACAAATTAATAAAAGAACAGAAAATAGGCATATTTTCAAAACCCAGTTTAAAGTAAATCATTGAACTTGAGTGCAAAATTTAGAATTGAGCTTCCTGAAAGTTAAGAAAAAAGGAAATGCGATGAGTTACATAGTTTCTGTGTCTCATTAGAGGATGCATATCAGTTGGCAAACAACAGAATATTTTATTTTATTTTTTAAGTAGGGTACCACAAGAGATTCCATTCATTTTTTCTGTTTGTGTGTACATGCTGTGTTTCAGGCACCATGGCCGTGAAGGTGTACAAGACAACACACTGTCTTCTGGGGTTTATGGTTTTGTGGGGAGAGGAAGTCAACAAACAAGTCAGTCAGTAAAGTAATGCCAGGCATTGATGAGAGCTCTGAAGAAAAATGAAGGGGATTAATGGGATATAAAAGTTGGGAAGGCAGGGGAAAGGGTCTCTGAGGAGGGGACATCTGAACAGACACCTGAATGATGAAGAGAGTGAGCCATGCAAAGAGCATTTCAGGAAGGGGAATAGCAAATCCTAAGACCAAGCGTCAGGAACAAACTTGGAATACTTGAGAATGGGGAGGACTTGTACGTGGTGGGGGACACAGTGGTGGTGGGGGAGAGTGGCAGGGAGCTTGTCACAGGTGAGGATGGAGAAGGTAGTTAGGTATGGCTTTGTAGAGATTTAGATGTTTTTTTTTCCCCCTTAAATGTGATTGGGGAGCCATTGGAAGTTTTAAGCAGGAAGCTATGTCATCTTTAAAAAAGTCTAATTCTAATTTCCCCCGGCTGTAGTACAGAGTCCTGACTGCAAGGGGCAACAGTGGAAGCAGGGAGAGCTCCTGAGAGGCTTTGCAAGTCTGGGTGAGAGATGATGGTGGCTTTGTCCAGGATGAAGCTGGTGGAAGTGGTGTTAAAGGTGTTCACTTACTGCCTGAGGGGAATGAGCAAAGGAGAGGATTTAGGTTTGTTCTAGATCTTTGGCTTGAGAAATGGCTGAACGAGAGAGGGTGAGAAGTAGGCATAGGCTGGCTTGGGGAACAAAATCAGGAGTTCTGTTTTTGGATCTGTTTGAATTAATTTGAATTAATGAAGAAATAACTCAGGTGAGATGCTAAGTAGACAGTTGGATCCATGAATAATGAAAGTCAGGGAAGTGGTGGGATTGGCAAGAGAGATACATTTGGGCAAGGGCAGTGGGACTAATAGAAATATTTTTCAAATGGCCAATTCGAGAGAATCAGAAACACACACACACACACACACACACACACACACACACACACACACACACACACCAGCCAGGGGATGATTATAAGGAATTGGCTTACTTAATTTTGGAGGATGAGAAGTCTCAAGATTTGTAGTTGGTGAGCTAGAGACCCAGGAGAGCCAATGTAGAGTTTTAGTTCATTCTGAAGGTCTGAGAACCAGGATTGCTGCTGATGATATAAGTTCCAGTCTGAGAGGCAGCAGAGTTGAGATCCAAGAAGAACTGATGTTTCAGTCTGAGACTGAGGGGCAGAAAAGATCAATGTCCTGATCCAGCAGCCTCTTCCTCAGCTTTTTTGTTTTATTCTACTCATGTCTTCAGTTGGTGGAATGAGACCTACTCACATTGCAGGGGACAGAGGGGATCAGCTTTACTAAATCTACCGATGGAAATGTTAATCTCACACAGAAACATTCCTACAGACACACTCCGGTCAGATTGACACATGAAATTAACCATCTCACTGACAAATACAGCATCATATCAAATTACAGTCGAATGTAGGGTGTTGGGCAACTAAAATAGGGAGTTTCTTGGTGAAATAATTTATTATGAGATTACATCCTGTCAACTCCAGAGCCAGGCCTGGCTCGTATGGTAAGAGTTGTTTTTCTTGGTCATGAAAGAACTTTAGTTTGGTTCTCAGAACTTAACGTTTTAAGAGGTACTAAATCCAGCGGGCCTTCTCATATCAGTTACTTTGTAGATTAATTCTTAACTTATTGAAAGAAGTTAATTAATCCATTAGACAGCTATAAAGATTCTTTGTCAGATAATGCCATTAGGTTATAGTCTGTTTAAAAGACCACCACATAAACAGACAAATTTGGATCCAGTGGGACTAGTTCCTGGCCACAATGAAGGTGTGGAGAAAAGGCTGTGGGAGGATGGATGAGGAAGTGACAACTCTGATGGGGCAGGGGAAGGAGTCACAGAGGAAGGTAGATCAGAGTTTTACTAGATGCAGAAGGAGGCAGAAGAGCAGTGTATGGAGAAGGTGTGGAGGCATGGGCGGGGCTGCAGTGTCTAGGCTGGAGCAAGAGACTGAGCATGACTGGTGTGTAGATGTATGGTATAGAATGGAGTGGACTGAGGCTACTTGGGCCCAGAGGGTGGAGGACTTTCTATTTCTGCCTAAGGAACTTGGGTTCTCCCCTTCAGGGCAGTTGTTCTTTACCTTAATAGGTACAAGAATCACCTGGGGAGCTCATTAAAAGTGGGGATTCCTAGGTCTTCTCTCTAAGGAGATGGATGCAGTTGGAGATGACAGCGTAATGAGCTCCCAAGTTGATTCTGATGTGGTTGGTCCATAGACCCTATCATTGCTATGGGCTATGGTTGCTTTTAAGAACAGTGAGTGACATGACCCAATTTATTTTTTAGGAAGATAATTCTGCCAACTCTGTGGAAGGTAGACCGACTGTATTGGCAGGGAAAATATGTAGGAGGTTGCTGCAGGCATCCTGGTGAGAGATGATGAGTACTTGCTTAAACATTAAAGAAAAAAGGGCCGAATACAAGAGACCTATTTGAGTTAGAATCCATAGTTGACATGAACAGGTAAAGGACTGAGAAGAATGAAGGTTGATAACTTGATTCTCAAGTATGTAGCTTGGAAGAATGAGTCATCAATAATAACTAGTATTATGCAAGTAATAAAACAATAATGCAATAATAACTATTGAATGATAAATGAGTAACTGGAACAAAAAGGAGGGATGGTTGTAAGAAAGGAAGATTTCATTTTAGATGTGCATATTTCGAACCAATACAAGGTATATTGATCTAATGTTTGCAAAGATAGTTCACACAGGGTTGGGATATGAACGTGGAAGTGTCAGAATATAGACTTCTTAGCTGAGTACAGTGACACATGCCAGTGATACCAGCTACTCAGGAGGCTGAGGCAGGAGGATTGCAAGTTCAAGTTCAGCCTTGGCAGCTTAGTGAGACCCTATCTCAAAATAAAAATTTAAAAAGGACTAGGATTGTATCTTAAAAGTAGAATACTTCTGAGTTTGTCTCCAGTACCCCCCACATGTATATGTACACATATATGTATATATAGAGAGTGTATTCTTTTTTTTATTATTAGTTGTTCAAAACATTACAAAGCTCT